CCTTCTCTGCAAGTATTACTCAGAGTGTGCGCCAATTCTTAGATCTATGCCCTGGTCCATTCACCTTTCTTCTTGTGAGACAGAATGAATGGCCACAACCTCCTTAAAGGTGCCCCCAAAGGAGACAGTCGGGCTTGTGCTCTGTTGTTTTATGATGTATCGTGGCTCAAAAGACCTTTTTTTTTTTGGCTGCTTATTGCTCCAGTACTGCTGCTGATCAGAGCTTTGCCTGGAATCAGCAGAGTGAAATTCACAAGTGTGGCTTTTCCCACTGTTTCTATTAGAACTTGTGGCAGCAAGGAAGTTGAGAAGAATCAGGTGAGTGATATTCTGCTGTTTGGGAAAGCTCTGAGCAGCAGCAGAAGAGAGGCAGGTACTGGGGCTATTCATGGGGAGCTAGGGGCGAAGTAGCAGAGACCATCCCCTGGTAGTGGTTAGATGTATTTGTATGCAATGTAAGGAAGAGAGCTGCTTTCTTCCTACCAATAGGGGAGTTTTGAGGAAGATCATCTTATGTATCAAACACCTAAACAGGCTAATATGAAAGGTGTTACCCTGGTTGAGAACCACTTCTGTAGTTAGTGGTGCTGGAAAATGTTCCAAGCCCAAGCTTGGATACTAAGAGTTGCTCCTGCCTGTTCACTCTGATCTGCTGATCCAGGTCAGCAGAAGGAGCACCTAATATTTGCACCTACTATCAGTGGGGTCCAAATAGTGAAAGCCTCTCTTTGTGCAGAACATCGCAACATGCCCCAAGCTGATGCCATGGTGCTTGTGGCAAGGAATTATGAACGCTACAAGACAGAGACCCGAGAGAAGGAGCGTGAAGAAATAGCCAGACAGGCTGCCAAGATGGCAGATGAAGCAATTCTGCAGGAACGCGAACGCCCACCACCCATAGAGGAAGGTGTCAGAGGGGGCCATCCGCCAGGAATCCAGACTCTCTTGAACCTGCTGGCAGACAACCGCTATCTAACTGCTGAAGAGACCGATAAAATCATCAATTACCTGAGAGACCGGAAGGAACGAGTACTTAGAAGTACTGACTCTCTGCAGGGTAAGTTATCTGTCATGTTCACTCCAATGCTAGGTACCTTAACAGGCCTTTGAGGCAGAGATGTCTGTTAGTCCGTGTCTACGCTACCAGACTTTGCTGGTTCAGCTGTTGGTTGGGTGGGGGGTGAAGGTGTGATTTCTGAAGGACCGCTACGCTAGCAGAAACCTCTAATGTGGGCACAGTTACACTGGCAAAACTGCGCTGTTCCCTGTGTAGCTTGTTTTGCTTGTGGGAGGTGGCTTTACGACAGTGGCAGAAAGCACAGCTTTGACGGTACAGCTGCGCCCACATGAGTGCGTTGCCAGTATGACATGCCAGCTCTCCCTTCTCAGTCGAATGCTCTCGGCATAGACATAGCCTTAGAGTATTGAGGCTGTCCTGATCATTCAGGGATCTCCCTGGGGTGTTAGATTCTCTCTGTGAGATTGCAGGGATACACCAACTGAATAGACTTGTCATGTGAATGGAGATGGTTCTGTAAGTGACATGGCCTGTGTTCTGCTTCCATCCCACTCACCTAGAGTAGTTCAGTCCCACCCGTTTAGAGGAAAGGGCAGTAGTTGACTTGCATGGCTTGGTAACTATACCCCTCGGGGCTCCTCTAGGATGCCTGTGTGACGAAGTGGGACTGTTCTTAATGTTTCCCCTAATACTGTGTGGGTGCCTCAGTTTCCCCTATGCATTCCCCTGTGCATTTCTTAAGCCTCTAGGTGGTGGGATAAAGGCCAGTGTGCATAAATCACCGACCCTCTGAGACAGGGGGATGCACACTGGAGGGTCGGTGCACACCTTTATGCACACTGGAGGGTCGGTGATTTGTGCACACTGGCCTTTATCCCACCAGCTAGAGGCTTAAGAAATGCACAGGGGAATGCATAGGGGAAACTGAGGCACCCACACAGTATTAGGGGAAACATTAAGAACAGTCCCACTTCGTCACAGCCTGTTCAGATGGGCCTGCAGAGAATTCACCGTTTTCTTTTCTCTTTCCAGCTCCATTGTCGAGACAGTCTCTCGGGGCGCCTTCGGGATCGTCTATGACCAGCCAGGCCAGCCTTCCAAGCTCTCAAACTCATCAGAGCACTCAGCCCCTGGTCTCGGCCACCTCTGCTACAGTGTCCTCCACTAATCCCCAACAGGAGCTGCAGGCAAAAATCCTCAGCCTCTTCAACAGTGGGGCTGCGGCTGCAGCGGCAGCAGCTGCTGTAGCAAACAGCAGCTCTGCAGCTTCCACAGCCGCTTCAGGTGGCACTCAGAACCAAAACTATGCCAATGTAGCCAGCAATCAAGCTCGGGCAGTGCAGCTCAGTGCTGCAAGCTTAAACCAGTCTCAGCAGAGAACACAGGTCCCTGGTCCACAGCTTCCTGCCCTCCCAGGCTCCACAAGGAACACCGGCCCAAGACCTGGAGCATCTCAGCCAGCCCAGGTACATTATGGTCAGCACCAAAATCGTCTGCCTACCCCTAGCAACATAGCTGTTCAAAGGCCCGTATCCTCGTCAGGTATCAACTTCGATAACCCCAGTGTGCAGAAAGCCTTGGACACCCTAATCCAGAGTGGCCCTGCGCTCTCCCATCTGGTGAGCCAGACAGTGGCCCAGGGGCGAGCAGGACCCTCAGCCCCGCAACCCATGGGCTCCTACCAGCGACACTATTAACATCTAGCTGCCGAGCCAATTTCCCTTCCCTTCGCCATTACCATACTCGTAGCTGTTTGAGTCTTTTGTCCTAGACCCAGGGCAAATGCCCTTGAAGATGCATGTCCTCTCCCTCTCTGGGTCCTTTGCTGTCCCTAGGCCACTTCTGCCTCCGCAGTGGCTAGAGCACTCACTCCAGTAGGATTGCTGTTGAGTGTGTTGCTAGTGCCCCTCTTCCCCTTGGTTTGGGTTAGCTGTTTTTGGAGACGAGAGCTCTGCTCTGTCAGTGACAAAGGAGTTCAGAAGCTTCTGTGGGTAGTTGAATTTTGGCCTCGATGGAAGTTGCTGCTATTCCAGCCCACCTGCGTTTCTCGCTCTTGGTGGTTGCCACTACAAGTAATGTTTGCACAGCATGTTACACCATGCCTGCAGTCTGTAGTCAAGTCTGGAGAGAATTTCACAAGGAGCGTATCAGAACAAAGTGGCTTCTTGAACTGGGTTTGTCTGAGACTGATTCCCCTCCCCCTTAGAAGCATCTCTTGCAGGGGTGTGAACTCTAAGATGGTTCTGGGTTGGGTGGCTAGTGGTTAGACCTTCCTCAGAGGTTTGGGTGGGCAGTATTTGTGTGTGGTTTAAAAAAACCAAACCATATGAGCCAGATATGGGGAGAGCTCCCTGGTGGTGCTGTAGCAGCTAAACTCAGGGAGCATGAGCAAGACTTGACCCCCCAGGTAAAGCTGGGCAGTGAGTGCAGTGTGGAACTCCCACAGCAGGGACAAAGACTTCCTGGCTTAGTGAGGCCAGCAATGATCTGCTTGCCATACCCAGGAGTGAGGAGCTTTCCAGCTTTTGTTCTGGGTACAGTGGCAAATCCAAACACCAAAACTTCTTACTCAGGCCAGAATAGGGAACTAAAAGGCTCTGTCAATTCTCCTGGACTCAGCAGCCAAGTTTACAAGCAGTTTATTACATGTGACACAAGTTTTTGTTTGGTTTGGGGCAGTTGACTACTGTAACTTTATCAACAGCCCAACCACAGAAGCCCTAGTCTGTGTGCAGCTCCCCCTCCCGGAATTGGGTACCGCAGGCTCCCTGGTGGGGAGTGGGGTCTCTACGCAGTGCCGGAGCTTTGCAGACTCCATTTGATTGCTGGTTAGGTTGGGTTCTGTCGCAGGTCGGGGAGGCAGTGCTGAGAGGGCTCCTATGTTTTTTATAAGTTTCCAAACATTTTAGTAGCAGCACTGGATGCTTTTGTGGAAAATCAGGCGGAGATTCCTGATCCAGTTTTTAACCAGTGATGCGTGTTGTTAGGGCATGTGGCTTCTCTGGCTAGATCATATCTAGTGCAAAAGGGAATGCATAGCCTCTGGGGCTTCCTGGGGGAGGCAGGAAGAAACTGTTTAGAAAACAAAGTTCCTGGAGCAGCAACTCTCTCTGTCCTGAATGGTTTGTGTTCTGGAGCGTTTTTCTTTCTGTGCTGTTAACAAGAGGACATTACTTTTTAATAAAATTGGCAGGAAAAAATATGATGTTGCGTGTTTGACACTAACCAGCTTGAGCATTAAATTGAAATAGATCTTCCCTAGGAGTTGCCAGTGGTCTGTTTCCTCAGGTAACCTGCTTTATGGCTTGTCTACATGGGGAATTCACAGGGAAGCTAGTGAGGGTGTAGACTGAAAACCAATAGCTATTCCTCACTTGTTCTCAGGTGGGTGATCTTATTCTGCACTGAGTGCCTTTCTGTAATGGAGCTTGATCCACTATTAGCATGGAATAACAATATCCACACAGGGAGCTTTCTGGGCTTTTTCCTCTGCATCGACAAGCCTGCAGCCACTGGCCAGTGCCAGATGCCAGTGAGAAAGTGTGAAAGCCCTTTCTTGCACCTGACTCTGTAATCCTATTGCATGGGGCAGGGGAGGTTATGGACTTGTCTCAGATTCTCAAAGTGCTTTTCAAGTATTTATCCTCACACCATCCTTGTGAACTCCTGAATTCACATTGCCAATCTGTAGAAACCATTGGTCTGTGCCCACTTCTCAGCAGAGTGTGAGTGGGTGTGTCAGCAGCATGGAGGCCCCCAGTGCACTGCTGGGGAACTGAACATAGGGCATTGGAAGATGGGAGGCTAGTGATACCAGTGAGAGTCATTTGAAATGTCCAAAAGTTCTCTCTCCAGGCTGCTGTACCTGCGAGCCCCTCTGGTTCCTGCTACCAGGCATGCAGCTGCCACATGGAAAACTAGTGAAGTGTTGGTCATGTGCTGCAGCACCCACAAACAAGTGACAATTCCCCACTACAAGTGGTGAAGGGTGTAATAAAATCATTTTATTGCATTTTGTGCAGACAGGAGTCTAAAAAATTAATACAATAAAAGCTGTAAAGCATTAACGGGAGCATTCAACAAGTGAGGAGCCACTCCTCTGTTAATATCCACAGAGAACACAGGGGGGCGATATTGAGGCGGCCCAATACAGAATACTGAAACACTCGCACAGAAATTAAATGCAAGCCTATTACTCTTTTCTTTTGGTTTGCAACCTATTTTATTTACAGAGTTTAAACTTCTTTGCATTGCTCTGCACACAGATTCTTTAAAACACAAAGCATACTAGGTCACTACATGTCTATTGAAATATTGCACTTGGAATAAAAGTCATTGGAATGGATGTAAAACATCTAGGTACAGTGACTATAAAGTTTATTTAATGAATTGACTTTGTTGTGGTAACATTCATAACAAATATATTGCACATGTAGCACAGAAAAGTGTTTTGCAACCAACAAAACCTCAAACCTCTGGATCCTTCCACTACAGGTCAATCCTGCTATGCAGTGGAGTCTTGACTCTTCTAGTGCAACTATTGTACCCTAAGCAGTATCTATAGTCACCTGAACCGCAGGAAGGATGAACACCATTGCCCAGTGCAGCCTCTGCCTACATCTGTAAACATGTTCTCAGAGGGTTTGTAACCTGGACCAGGGAATGCTTGGACTGGGCCTAACCCCCCAGCTTGCACTGGGAGGCCAGGTAGCGGGCTGGGGAGTGGAGGTTGCCCCCGTTTTAACTTGTGAGGAACTAAAGAGCTTTCCTCTGCTCTGGCTAGAGTAATTAGAGTGGTTCCCTGAGCAGGGGGCCGAGCCTTGCACCCAGAGCACCTGCTCTGCTGGGGGGGGGCTGTGCTCATCCTTGCAGCTGCATACAAGGGCTCGCTGTAAAACAAGCCCCATGGGTCAAGACCTTCCTGCCCGCTCTGAAAACCCTGAACTGTCTCCACATGTGCCAGAAAGAGACTCCGGTTTCTACCACAGGACACGATCTTTACCAAGACGGAACAGTGGAAGGGTGCTCCAGAGGGAGCTGCACACTCACAGAGGCCAAACGTGCAGGGGCAGAGCTGGGTTTGTAAACTAACATGCAGTGCTGTCTGCTAAAACTGGCTCTCCAGCCCCGGGCATGGGGGACTTGCTGAGGAAACCAGCACCCTCTGCTTGCCCCCGAGGAGTTTGGCCAGGCAGTGCTTTTGAGAGGCAACAATGCACATGTGTGTTCAGAGCTGTAGCACTGGTCTTGCTGAGCCAGGGCCGGGGATGGGGGCTCCTTTGCCTTTCACTGTCTCAATGGGGTCACTTGCCAAGGGGATTGTGTGCTACCCCCCAGCACTGGTGGAGCGATGGCTTTCCAGGAGGAGGGAGGGAGGGAGGGAGAGGGCCCTGGCTGCCATGGCTGGTTTGAGCAGTGGATGTAGCCCTGCTCTGAGCGGGTCTAATGGATGCTTTGTTTAAAAGGGGGCTGGCAGCCTGTCTGCACTAGGGTTTCCAATGCCACAAGGCAATGCAGGGATGGGGGCAGGGTGTGACATGCCCACGCGTGAGCTCAGTGCTGCCGGCGGTTAGTGCTAGAGGAATCATGAGACAAGAACTGTTCAGTCCTGATTGAAGGGAAAGAGCCAGGACTGAAGGGCATCTGCGCTGAGGGAGGGGGACAGCACTGGGGGCAGAAAGGAGAGGAAGGCGGGCCGGGGGGCAGCTGGGGGGCCTGCAGGCAGCAGCAAAAGCCAAAGGAGAGTTTTGCAAGTAACATCTATGACTTCTAGCCCTGGGCTCAGTCTGCTCTTGGGAACCTTGCTGCTATGGAATGCTGTGAGAACCAAGCCATGGGAAGGGGCCTGGCTTATGGGGTTTTCTCACAGCAGCCCCTAACTAGCCCAAGCTCTTGCTGTGAGAAGCAGCCATGACCCCCTGACCCAAGCTTAAGGAAACCCTCCTCCAAGCAGACACCTGCCTGTTCATTTCAACGCAGCGGCCTCGGGGCTGAAGCACTCAGCAGAGCTGCTGGTCAGTAATTGTCCAGGGTTGGGCTGGGCCCCTGCATCACCCACTTCCCGCCAGGAGCTGGGCCCAGTGCTCGGCATCGATTCCCCATTAAGAGCGTGTGGGCGCAGCAGCGGGCACACATCCTCTGCCAGGGTTTGAAGCTGGGGCTGCTGCACAGAATCGTTCTGCCTTTCCCAAGCAGTTTGGCCGCCACTGGGGATGAGCCTGAACTGCTGCTGGGCGGGGAGGGGGGCGGTGGCACTTTGAGGGAGCCGGGGCCTAGCAACAAATACAGATGTGAGGGCTGGGGCCATCACCGAACCTGGCCTAGGCGAGCAGATGCTGGAGTGTGAGCAGGGAGCTTCAGCCCAAATCACTTCCTGCTCCAGTGCCCTCCCCTCCTTCCCCATGGGGCCAGTGCTGGGGTGTGATGCCAAGGGCCCACTGGAGGAGGATTTAGGGCAGGTGCCCACAGAAGACCTTGTTCCCTCTCGCTGTTTCAGTGGGAAGGAAGTTGAGGGCTGGCAGCTCTGTGGGAGCTGCCGCCGGGGCCATTCACGCCCACAGGTTTGAGTCTATTGCCAGGGAGCGCTGGGCACGGGATGCTCTTCCCTAGAGAGCATTGAGCAAGGGCAGCAGGATAGGAAAGGAAGGGGGCCTACGGGGAGCCAGCACTGTCTGAGAAGGGGCCCAGCTGCCTTCTCCAAGGGGAGTCATTGTACGAGACGTTAGCCCTTTACTGGCATCAAGCCATGGGCCTCTGAACCATCTCCCGCCTGCAGAAGGCACAGGGCTGCTCCCGTGGCAATCTGCACGGGCCCATTCCCAGTGCTGCAATGGAGGCTAAGAGGTGGGTCTGGGGCTCAGCTCTGGGCCACACGTCTGAGCAGTGAAGCTGCTCCGTCTCGGCTGGGGGAGAGGCCGGCGCAGCACGGAGAAGGCCCGCCGGAGCAGGCTGCACTCAGATTGGAAGCTCAAATCTGCTGTGAAACAAGTTCAGAAAATTCTGTAACTTCTTTTCCCTGAAAAGACTAAGCAGCAAAATTCAAAGAGAATGACCCCGTGAGCTGGCCCTCCCCATGGGACGCGCTATAGGCCAGAGACGCTGCAGCCTTCACCCCCGCACGTGAACGACGAGGAAAAGCCGCCCTCTCCAGGGGGAGCAGCCTCAGCAAAACCTCTTGGAGCTCACGGGCCTGGGCCCCAGACTGAGCCTAAAAGCTGGAGCCAGAATTCACTGGCGCTAGCGACTCCTTGCATCTCTCAGCATAGATATAGATCTCTAGATATAGACTTCATCTGGGGCTAGGAACATAAATATGATCACTTTAAAAATACACATACAGTATTATGTACATTATATACAGCAGGGCAGGCGCCCGGGCTGGGCGAACCCTCTGCCCTCCCGGCCTCCACGTCCGCTGTGGTTCCTAGAACTATTCACATTGGTTAAAAGCGCCTCAGTTTCTCAGTAAAGTGAGAGATGCTGAGGGGGGAGGAGGGACTGGGACCAAGGTTTGACATGTCTAAACAAGCCCACAGCCATGTGTGCAGGTGCAGAGCTGCTCATGGGCCCATGTGACCTGGGGAGGCTGCATCCCAGCCGGGGACTGTCAGTGACCTGCTGCTGGTACAGGGGTGGGCCAGGGTGGGGGGTGAGATTGAGCTGATTTGCATATTTATAAACTTTGAATACCTATGGTCTTTACCCAGCAGCCCCTGAAGCAGCAACATGGCTTGGAGGAGGTTGCCATGGGGGAGAGGACACAGGGGGCACGAGGCTGAGGAGGGTCACAGGGAGGCTGTTCATGCCCATGCCGTGGGCGCTGGACTCATGCCCGGTCCCATGCATGGTGTGGGGGGAGGGACACAGGCCTCCCGTCTGGAGCTGCTGTGCAGCATGGCTGTGCATGGCACTAGCCAGACGTGCGCCCCTGCGTTCCCAGGGCTGTGCAGCGCGTGCGAACAGCATGCAGTGAGCGCGCTGCCCCAGCCCAGCTCAGGCACCACACCCTGGAGCAGGTGAGTCAGGGTGGGGCAGCCACGTGGGCCTGTGCTGAGCGGGGGGTGGGGGGAGGAGAAAAACTTTGTCCATGTCCCCACTGACACCCTCCCTGCCCCCCGCTGGGATGCAGCCCCTGGCCAGGTCAGGCCCCTCTCACCCAGCCGGTGGATCTAGGGCACCTCACGACAACGGCAGCGTGGCGCTGTCCTTCGCTCCGACGCACTGCAGGACCTGCCTCCTCCCTGCCCAGCCCTGCAGCACTCACCTGTCCCAGCCAGCACGGGGGGGCCACAGAGTGTGGCTGTGGTTTCCAGGGACGGGCAGCAGGAGGGCTGCGCTTTGCTGAGCCCACCTTGGCAAGAGGCCTGTGGCTGGCACTGCAGGTGCCTGGGAGCGGTGGGGCGAGGCGAGAATGTGGGTGGCCTTGCCCAGGCGAACGGGCTCCAAAGGACACGTCAGCAGGCGGGGCAGGGCAGCAAACGTGTCCCACAAACCTCAATGTGTCCAACTATAGCAGAGCGAGGGGGAGGGAGCCTTGTCCCAAGGGCCCAAGGCACCCACGCCAGCCATCCGGGGGCTCCGCGGAAGCACTGACTGAGAGCCTGGCCAGCCCCCCTTCCTGCCCCACACGGAGGCCAGCGGTGGTGGTAACGCTCCAGGCCCTGGGGCTCAGGCTCAGAGCTACTGTCTCTATTTATATATAAACACCCACCGCAGGGCTGTGCTGGCGCGATGAGGAACAGCGGCGCTGGTGCTGGTTGCTCCTGGAGTATCAGGGGCTGCAGTTCGAATGGAGCGAGTGGGGGGCATGGTGAAGTTTCTGAGCACCAAGCACAAGCAGAACCACCCTCCTGCCCCCCCGGAGCCAGGTGCAAAGAGGTCGGTGGGGGTCTCTCAGGGTGCAAAAAAACTTCTTCAGCTCAGCAGTTGGTGTTTCAGGAGTAGATGGTGATGACTTCCCGGCCCCCGCCGCGCACCAGCATGACCCGGTCCAGGTGCTCCGTTAGCACCTCCAGGAACTCCATGTCTGCAGGGACGTGGCTGTCAAGGCGGAAACCAGACCCAGCTCCGGGCACGGCTCAGCAGACACCATCTAGGGGACCAGATGGCCCGATTTTATAGGGACAGTCCCGATATTTGGGGCTTTTTTTAAATGGATGCCTATTCCCCCCCCCCCCCCGACCTTGTTCACACTGTCTGGTCACCCCGCACCATTGCTGGGCCCACTAGAGACCGAGGGGATGGGGCAGACACAGGGCCTGCCCGGCTGGCTTGGCCTAGCCACCTGGCGGCTGCAGGAGCTGAAGGGGCAGGACCCGGGCTCAGGGAAGCACTGGGCTAATGACCTGGGCTGGCTGCCCCACCCCTCAGGGGGCACCTCAGACTGAGCGTCAAGCACTGGGTGGTGGGCAGGGGCGGCTCTATGTATTTTGCTGCCCCTAGCACGGCAGTCAGGCTGCCTTCGGCGGCGTGCCTGGGGGAAGTCTCCGGTCCCGCGGATTCGGCAGCAAGCCTCCGGGACGTCCGCCGGTCCCGCGCCTTCGGCGTACCCGCTGCTGAATTGCCGCCGAAGGCGTGGGACCGGCGGACCTCCCGCAGGCATACCGCCGAAGGCTGCCTGACTGCCGCCCTCGCGGTGACCGGCAGGCCCCCCCTGCGGCTTGCCGCCCCAGACACACGTTTGGAGCGCTGGTGCCTGGAGTCGCTCCTGGTGGTCGGGGCTCTGCATGCGCAACCCCCCGCCTCAGGCCAGCAGATTGGCTGAGTTAGCTCTGCTGTCACAGGCCTCCACCAATCAGCTACGCCACACCTGCCAGTGCCCGGGCCCCCACAGCGCAGGGCCAGGGACTGGGACAGCCAGGTGCCACTGGAGCTGGTGCTGCCGGAAACTGATGGGTGAGGGGGGTTGCACGCGCACCCACGGCTGTGTGTGTGTGTGTGTTTGTGTCACTGTGCGCGCACCCACAGCTGTTCGTGTCACTGTGTTCGCACCCATGACTGTATGTGTGTGTCTGTGTCGCTGTGCATGCACCCATGGCTATTCGTGTCACTGTGTTCGCACCCATGGCTCTGTGTGTGTGTTTGTGTCGCTGTGTGCGCACCTACGGCTGTCTGTGTGTGTCTGTGTCACTATGTGTGCACCCACCGCTGTCTGTGTGTGTTTGTGTCACTGTGCGCGCACCCACAGCTGTCTGTGTGTGTCTGTGTTGCTGTGCACGCACCCACAGTTGTTCGTGTCACTGTGTTCGCACCCACGACTGTATGTGTGTGTCCGTGTCGCTGTGCATGCACCCACGGCTGTGTGTGTGTGTCTGTGTCACTGTGTGCGCACCACAGCCGTGTGTGTCACTGTGTGCGCACCCACGGCTGTCTCTGTGTGTCTGTGTGACAAAGTGGGGTTTTTTCTTGTTTTCTGTGGAGTTTCAATGGTTTGCATGCAGAGGGGGTGGGACTCAGTTTCCCTGGGTGTTACTGGTTTAACGAGGGGAGGGGAGAGGGAGTTTGTTTTGTAGAGGACCGGAGAGAGGACTTGGGGACCCAGCCGATGGCTGGGAGGATGGATACCCCAGCGACCGGTGACCTGGCGACCTGGTGACCCAGAGGCCCAGCTGAGGAGACACAGCCGGTTCTGGCCAGTGGGCGGACAATGGGCTGCAGAGTGAGGACCTAGTGACCTAACCAGCTGGTTCCAGCCAGAGGACAGAAGCGAGGAGAGGAGGCCCCGGTTTACGACCCTGTTTACCTGGAGAGAAGACAATGGACAGAGGCGGGGCTTGAGGCTGGTGATCTCAGATGCCCAGCTGGGAAGCAGAGCGACTTGGGGCTGGAGAGGGGGAGCAGGCAGCGCCCACCTGGATGCAGAGAGACCGGGATGTGCTGTCTTTTGCCAATGTTATAGCCGATGCTTTATCGCGGGGCAGGGACCCTGAACTTCCCCAGGTCACTGGCTAAGTGACCCTGCTCCGTTCAGCCTCGAAGTGGGGAGAGATGTGACGAAGTGGGGGGTTTTCTTGTTTTCTGTGGAGTTTCTGCACGCACCCACGGCTGTGTGTGTGTGTCTGTGTCGTTGTGCGCGCACCCACGGCTGTGTGTGTGTTTCTGTGTCGTTGTGCGCGCACCCACAGCTGTCTGTGTATGGTCTGTTCCTGGCGGGCACATGGCACTGCTCTTCCTGTGCCCATGACCCTGCCTCTTCCCAGCAGGGGGTGTGGTGCTAACGGCTGATCCTGGTGCTGAAATGCCCAGGGGTGGGTGTTTCCCATGCAGGCAGCGGGCAGGGGCCGCCAGGGCCCAGCCACAGCCCTGTTGGCCCAGCCTGTCTCACCAGCCTAGCGAGGCTGGAGTGGGGGAGGGTGGGAGAAGCTGCCAGGCGGTGGGAGTGGGCAGGCACTGCCATGTTTTGATGGCACTATCCCAGCTGCTGGCGGGTGGGAGGAGGCATCGGGCAGGGCAGGGAGGTGCCACTGAGGCAGCCCCTCATCCCTAGCACCCCCTGCCCGCCCACACCTGGGCTCCCCCTTCAGCCGCACTCAGCCAGTGCCTTAGGGCCCCACAGCCCAGAGCCAGCAACACCCACGGCAGGAAGATGGGGCCTAGCAGGGGGCCTACAGGGCACATGGCTGGGTTTGCGGCTGCCAGCGGCCAGCAAAGGATACAGTTCTCATCCCCCTTCCGGTTGCGGGGTGGACCTGGCATGTTCAGCAAGACCAGCTTGGCGTTCTGTGACTTCTTGACGATGACCTCGTTAAGCTTGACGGCTGTGTGCATCCGCCGCACGTTGGACTGGTTCCTGGAGGAAAAACGGGTGGGCAGGCTTAGGGGGCGGGGCAGGGCCCAGGCCCTTAGAGCTGGGGGAGGGACACAGAAAGCCCCACCCACACAGCTGTGTCAGATGGGGGAGGGGCACAGAAAGCCCCACCCACACAGCTGTGTCAGATGGGGGAGGGGCACAGAAAGCCCCACCCACACAGCTGTGTCAGATGGGGGAGGGGCACAGAAAGCCCCACCCACACAGCTGTCAGATGGGGGAGGGGCCTTCCAAGAACAAGCAACTCCTGCACGTCTCAAGAGGTGCCCGAGGCAGCGCTGGCCCCTGGCTGCCCCCGCCAATGGGGCACGCTTGGGGCACTGGCCAGTGCTGGGGCTCTGACCAGGCTCAGCCAGACAGGTTCAGTCTCTTCCCCCTGTTGGCAGAAAATGCTGTGTGGGGCAGGCAAGGACCCCCGGCAGGGGGCGGTGTGTGGGGCAGGCAAGGACCCCCGGCAGGGGGCGGTGTGTGGGACAGGCGAGGACCCCCGGCAGGGGGCGGTGTGTGGGACAGGGGCGCAGACCCCGCACTGGAGTGGCAGGATCCCGCAGCCCCCACCTGCTCCCCTCCGCACTGGGACATGGAACACACACACACACAACTCAGACTTACAGGTTCTCCCACTCCCTGCGGCAGCACAGGGGAAAGAGAGAGAGAGCTCGTCAGCACCGCGTTGCCTCGCCCCAGCCCCCACCTCCTGGAGCACATGCTCCTGTTCACCGCTCAGCTCCCATGTCTGCCAGCCTCCCCCTTCCAGCAGCCCTGGGCACAGCGCTGTGCTGGTCTCCACCAGCTCCACACCCACCCTGCTCAGCCCAGATCTGCCAGGAGCAGGGCCGGCTCCAGGCACCAGCTCAGGAAGCAGGTGCTTGGGGCGCCAATGGAAAGGGGCGGCACGTCCGGGTCTTCGGCGGCAATTCGGCAGCGGGTCCCTCAGTCCCTCTCGGAGTGAAGGACCCGCCGCCGAAGAGCCGCCGATCGCGGCTTTTTCTTTCTTTCTTTTTTTTTTTGGCTTCACCGCTTGGGGCGGCAAAAAAGCTGGAGCCGGCCCTGGCCTTGAGCTCCCCGGCCTCCGTCCGCCAGCTGTCAGGCTCAGCTCTAGTGCGGACACAGGCAGGCCCATGCCAACGCTGCCTGGCTCAGCTGGGGACCAGTGTCTGACGGGGGGTGCAGTGCAGGGGTCTGGGGCCACCCCGGGGGCAACTTACGGCTTCATGTTGAAGAAGTCCTTGATGCTTTCGGGGCTGACGGGGCTCTTGCTCTTGTTCTTCTCCGCAACAGACTTTTCCTTGGTCCAGGTGAGATGCACCTTCTCAGGGGCCGTCTCCACCTCGTCACTGGGTGACTGGGGGCTGCTGGCGAAGGCCGTGGCGTTCTTATCGTGGATGAGCTGCACCTGCACAGAGAGAGTGGGTGAGAGCGGTGTAATGTTATGAGTATAATAGAATATCTCATTGAAAGGGGACAGGGCCAGAAAGACCTTTAATTAACTCACAGACTGACCTGACCCATGCGTGAACTTTAAGGACTGGTTAGGAAGATCTGTAAATGACTAGAGCTTTGAAATGCGAGTCTGCATTGTTAGAGATCTCAAGGGGAGGTGTTTGCTCAGGTCTTGTGATGTAAGCAAACAAGTCTTGTCTATTGCTATAACTTTAATTCAAAGATCAAAAAAGGAATATTAACATTTATGATGATACTTGAGTGAAATAGTATTATTGTCTATATGTCTCTTTGAAGGTTGTGGTAACCTGTATCTGAACTGTTTAATGGATAAATTACCCTGTGCTAATTGCCTGAATGTTTGGGAGAAGGAGAGTTAAACCTATTGTTTTCTCAGACAGAAAGGCTGCTGGAAATGTATAAGAACCCTGGGACATGATCCTACTTCATCTCAGATCTGCTTTGGGTTTCAAGAGGGGGAAACTTTAAGCCACAAGGATTGAGATCCCCAGTCACTGACTGGAGCCACCCTGAATATGGACATTGGACTATAACCTATGGACTATATCTAAAAGGACTTTTGGCAACTACAAGATCACCTCTGCTATGTATCTGAACCTCAAGAATTAAATTCAAGTCTGTCTGTATATTGATCTTTTAACCAACTCTCTCTCTTTTTTCTTTTTTAATACATTTTAGCTTAGTTTATACGAATTGGCTATAAGCGTGTATTTTGGGTAAGATCTAAGTTATAATTGAACCTGGGTATGTGGCTGACCCTTTGGGATTGGAAGAACCTTTTCTTTTATATGATGAGATAAGATTCTCAGTAATCATCATCACATCTGACAGGTGTGTCAGGACGGAGGCCTGAGGCTGGGCACTTTAAGGGAACTGCGTTGTTTGGACTTCTGAGTAACCAGTGAGGTACTATAGAAGCTGTTTTGGGCTGGTTGGTAAATCTAAGTATTGGAATAACCACCAGCTTTTGGGGTTTGTCTGCCCCGTTTTGTTTGCAGTTCACCCTGATTGAGTGACCTCAGCTGGCTCCCACGGGCAGCACCATCAGAAGCAGGGAGGGGTCTTCCCAGCCCCCCATCCTGCCATATCCCTGGGCCCCAGGTCCATGTCACTTGGCCCTGCCAGCCCAGACCCCGCAGTACTCAGCCCCACCCTGCAGTTCAGTGCCTCCATAGTGCCCCCAACCCCCCAGCACATGGCCCCCTTCAGGTGCTCGCTCCCCATAACCCCCCAGTTCTGCAGCGTCAGACCCCCAGCTCCCCATCCTGTGGGGCTCGGCCCCCCAGCATGCAGCCTTACCTCCTCCTCCGGCTTCTCCTCGCTGTCGCCCACCTGCTCCTCCGGGACGCTCAGCCGCAGCCGGGGGTTGGCAGGGTTCTTGCGCCGGATGGAGCCGCGGGACTCGTCCGTGATGCTCTGGATCTGCGTGGGGAGGGATGGAGATGGGAGGTCATTGAGCAAACCCAGCATGCCACGGGCCAGAGACCAGCAGCACAGAGCAGCATATAGCCCACTCAAGCTACTCTGTCCCTGCCCCACCCAGTGATGGGGGGCACGTGGGGGGGGGGGGCACAGCCGAGGGCAACTCAAGGCTGGCCGGAGGGAAAAGAGTTCAGGTCTGGTTTGGTGGGGCAGGGGGGTCACTGGCTGGGGGGGAGCTCAGGACTGACCGGGGGGGAGTCACTGCTGGGGGGAGCTCAGGGCTGGCTGGGGGGGGGAGAGGGTCACTGCTGGGGAGCCCAGGGCTGGGCGGGGGGGTGACGGCGCACGGGGGGACGGCCCCGCC